TTTAATTTATACATTTGCATTTAATTTTCTGATGATTTTTTTTTTACAGATACTCATAAAAACATTACAGCCAGATCCATTGTTGAATTCAACGATATTTCAACGATTGAACTACACTCGTTTGTACAAGACAGCAGTGGTATTGAAAACTTATTCAAAGCTGTCCAAATTCCGAAGTCGTTGCTGAATGTCGATATGGAGCAGTGGAGTAGTTCCATCGAGTTTAAAAATGCCAAAAGACGGGTTCAATGGTTGGAAGTAGTTAATGATAATGCAGAGCGTGGTATAGCATTGATTAAAACATAAAATTCAAAACTATCAACGGATGAAGATCAAAAGCAGTGCATTTTACAATTAGTTGAAGATCATCGAAAAAAATTTAAGAGTAAAGGGTGATACGGTCAAAATTTGGTCAATATCAACTTGACGTATTTCTTTCAATTTTGCATTTAAAAAACCTGAACACCCCTCATTTTGAAGGTGTGTGTGTGTAGAATGTTGCTCCTATTTTGATTTTGGAATTCACTCTTCAGTTGTCAAAATGTCGTCCAAGCAAGAAGAGCAGCGTATCAAAATTTTGCTCGCGCATCGCGAAAATCCGAGCTACTCGCACGCAAAGTTGGCAAAATCGCTAAAAGTTGCCAAATCAACCGTTACAAATGTAATTAAAGTGTTTGGGGAACGTTTGTCGACAGCCAGGAAGTCTGGATCGGGGGGAAATCGAAAACCGGAAGCCGCTGAGACGACAAAGAGAGTTGCCGGTAGTTTCAAGCGAAACCCTAACCTCTCTCTCCGAGATGCCGCAAATAAGCTGGGTGTATCGTCTACAACCGTGCATCGAGCCAAAAAACGAGCCGGACTATCGACTTACAAGAAGGTAGTGACTCCAAATCGCGATGATAAACAAAATACGACGGCCAAAGCGCGATCCCGGAGGCTGTACACGACGATGCTGACGAAGTTTGACTGCGTGGTAATTGACGACGAAACCTACGTCAAAGCCGACTACAAGCAGCTTCCGGGACAGGAGTTTTATACGGCAAAAGGAAGGGGAAAGGTAGCAGATGTTTTCAAGCACATGAAACTGTCAAAGTTCGCAAAGAAATATCTGGTTTGGCAAGCCATCTGTACCTGTGGCTTGAAAAGCAGCATTTTCATAGCTTCCGGGACTGTCAACCAAGAAATTTACGTGAAAGAGTGTTTGAATAAACGTCTGCTGCCTTTCCTGAAGAAACACGGTTGTTCCGTACTGTTTTGGCCGGATTTGGCATCTTGCCATTACGGTAAAAAGGCCATGGAGTGGTACGCCGCCAACAACGTGCAGGTGGTTCCCAAGGACAAGAACCCTTCCAACACGCCAGAGCTCCGCCCAATTGAGAAATACTGGGCTATTGTCAAGCGGAACCTAAAGAAGACCAAAAAAAACTGCTAAGGGCGAGCAGCAGTTCAAGGCAAACTGGCTTTCTGCGGCGAAGAAGGTGGACAAGGTGGCTGTACAAAATCTGATGACAGGGGTCAAGCGTAAGGCCCGGCAATTCGGATTTGGAAAAGCGGAAGCCTAACTGAATATTTTTCCTGAATTTTATACTAATTGAACTTGAAAAAGAAATTTAATTTGATTTTTTAAATAAACGATTTTTACAATTCGCTTCATGCACTACTAATCAACTATATATTCAGCCTGATGTTAATCAGCTTTGTACACCTTAAATCAACCAATAATCAGCTTCTGTTCTCAATGTTCAGCTTGAATTGTTACTGGGGCTGCCTTCTCATTGCCTGGGATTAAGCAATGTAAGGGAACCGAATAGCCTCAATCAAACTGAGACTATCCGAGAAGATGAAGTAATGGTCTATGGGCATATCGGAAATCATCCCCAATGCGAAGTTGATTGCTGCTAGCTCAGCAACATAAACGGAACAAGGTTCCTGAAGTTTCCGAAAGGCGGTTGAGTATTCATTGCAGACGCTGAAGCCAGTGGATCCATCAAAGCGTGATCCATCAGTGAAACATCTTCTATTGCAATTGATTTGTTGGTACTTTTCAGCAAAAATGCGGGGAGTTGAGATAGGTCGAAGTTGATCTGGAACTCATTGAATAGCCTGTTTCATGAAGAGATCATAGTCAATGGGAGAACTGTAGTTAGTAAAGCATACACGAGATGGGTTATAGCAAGGAAGGCTAATATCCGATGACATATAATTAAGATAGATTCGCACGAATCTAGACTGGATGCTCAATTCGAGCATTTCTTCGAAGTTTTCAATCACAAGGTTGTTACTGACACTACATTTAATCAATATTCTTAATGAGAGCTCCCAGAAACGGTTCTGCAGGGGTTTTACGCCCGCTAGGACCTCTAGGCTCATATTGTGTGTTGAATGCATACAGCCAAGGGCAATACGTAAACAACGATATTGAATACGTTCCAGTTTAGTTAGGTGGCTTTTTATATAGTTTAATGAGGTCTTCCGGGTGAGCCCCCTACCATGTCCCGGAAATTGATCGTAGAAAGTTGATCCTTTGTTGACACTTTTGTTTCAAATACGTAATGTGGGTACCCCAAGTGCATTTTGAATCAAACCAGACTCCAAGGTATTTGAAGGTTAAAGATTGGGTAATGTCTCTGCCCAAAAGATTTAGACGCAGTTGGGCTGGAAACCGCTTCCTTGTTAACGCTACCAATTCAGTTTTTTGCGGTGAAAACTCGATCCCTAAATTTCTTGCCCAGAGAGACAGATTATTTAGGGAATTTTGCAATGGTCTTTGCAAGATTTCTGCACGTGGACCTCTCATGGAAACCACGGCATCATCTGCAAGCTGTCTAAGCGTGAATTTGATTATCTAAGCAATTATCAATATCTTTGACATAGAAATTATAAAGTAAGGGACTTAAACATGAGCCTTGGGGTAAGCCCATGTAGCTAATTCTAGAAGTTGTCAGTTGATCTAGATTGAAGGTCATTTGTTTTTCTGACAGCAAACTATACAAGAAATTATTCAAAATAGCGGGTAATCCACTACTGTGTAAATTGCCAGTTGAATATCAGATGAAAGCATTGCTAGACAATCGTTTGTTCCTTTACTCTTTGGGAAACCAAATTGCGTCTTTGAAAGTAGATTGTTTGATTCAAACCAATGGTCAAGTCTTAATAGGTTCATTTTTTCTAATAATTTCCTCAGGCATGATAACTTAGAGATCGGACGGTAAGAATTGTGATCAGACACTGGTTTCCCAGGCTTTTAAATAGCTATTACTTTAACCTGTCTCCATTCTGGTGGAACTATATTGAATTCCATAAATGAATTATATAGGTTAAGTAATCGTCTTTTAGCGATATCGGGGAGGTTTTTTAGAAGGTCGAATTTGATCATGTCGCTTCCCGGAGCAGAGTTATTCGATGAAAGAAGTGCCATTGAAAATTCCAGTATTGTGAATGGTTCATCCAGAGAACCTTTACTTTGGGCTGTATCCCGTAAAGTTGGTTGTGCTGGAACAGAATCTGGACAAACCTTTTTAGCGAAGTCGAATATCCATTGGGAGGAGTATTCTTCACTCTCATTGGAAGATGAGTGGTTTCGCATATAGCGACCCTTTTTCGAAAGCGTTGTCATCGAGGTTTCTCTAGAAAATCCCTCGATAAAAGTACGCCAGTAATTTCGTTTCTTTGCTTTTAGTAAGTTTTTGAGCTTTTTTTTCAAGCTGTAGATACTTTTCAAAAAGCTAAGATCTTTCATGTCTACGATAATCTTTAAAGGCATCGGATTTCTCAAGATACAACTTTGTGCATTCGTCATCCCATCCAGGGGTGACGGGTAGACTGCCAATGAATGTATGGGAAAAATTTGACCATCAAATTTCGCTAACAAACCATGTACAAAATGTTTATTGCCTCGAAAAAAGACCCTATGCAAAATTTGAGCTCAACCGGACATGATTTAGGGGTGGCGCAAACGCGTCAAAGTTTGACTTTTTTCACTCTCAAAAATCTCCCAATGGGGAGGGGGGGGGGGTACATGAAATTTCGGAAATCAAAAAAAAAAAATTGATGCCAAATGTCTTAAAAACACATGAAACGTCGAGATTTGGTGTTATCTCGATTTTTTTTTTTTTCAAAAATCGACTTTTTTCATGAGTTCTATATGGAATATAGAAGATTGATGAGTCGGCTTCTAAAACTGTTCAAAATTGTCTCCAACCTGCTTATATATCGAATTAAACCATCATTTAGGATCTAATACGAAATAATTCACTAGGGTGGTCCAATTATTCTTCATTAGGGTGGTCCAAAAATCAAAATAGGTATGTAAAAACCATTACTTTTTATCAAACGCATGTATCTGAAAATATCATCATGTTGTGTTTTTGAATTTTTAAGAATTCAAACTTCAAAACATTTGATGATATTACTTTTTAGTATCTGAGACCACGTAAAATAGAAGCATAGACAGACATAAAGCGTAGAATAATTCCGAAAACTGTACAGGACAACCGTTAGTGCTGTTTAGTTTACAGTACAATCTGACGAAAGTACAATGACTTTTTAACATATCCACCTAATACGGGACAACCCTGTAAACTTTTCTACCATGGCTTTTTCTACCTATGCTTTAGTATAAAAAAGGATGCGATCTGAGGATGTATGATCAATCAGTAGTGCGTTTAAAGAAGACAACAAGCAGAGAACTGATAGTGAATAGTACGACAGTTTGTTAAAAATGGTTGACATTTGGCTAGTTGGAGAATATCTGCCGTCGTTTGGCCATTCTGTTAACTTGCCGACGTATAGTGAAGTTTTTCGTAAATATATGTTTCATTTGCGTGCTGAAAAAAAAGTTGTAAGCTTAGTGCCTTCCCAACAATAAAGGAATTAAAGGATGCTTGGAAAAATAAAACTTAACACATAAGCATAAAGAAAAAACTGTTGCTATTTTTCAATACCTGGAAAGCCTTATTAGAATGCAAACTTAGAATGTCTAAGAAAGACGTCGAAAAAAGGAACACATTTCATGGATCATTGCGGAGTTTGTTTGATATCGGGAAGAATTTTAAGGCAAAAACCCGTGAAGAAAAGCAGGCGATGCAATATTTGCAAAAACAGCGGGAACAAGCTCATCTTGAAGAAGAAACTGAGGTTCTCCCAACCAATGAAACCATTTCGTGTAGCGATTTTGAGGAAGAAGGGTCAAGCCAAAGACCGGATCAAATTTGTAGTGCAACCTCAATTGAAACATCATCACAAAACGACAGCCAGGCTGGGTCAGTGTACTCGCCTAGTACATCCGAAAGAGCTTCTCCAAAAACAGGTACGTTGTGATGTTTTACTAATGTTTTTTTTTCTTTTAGATTATACCCCTATTACCATCCATATTAATATATTTTGAACGTTCTAGGTTCTCCAAAACCAGCTTTGACACGTAAATCGCAACTGATACGAGTTGTTACAGTTGAGGTAGCTGCTGCTTTGGTCCACTTTAAAGTGAGTGATCGAAATGCTGTGTTTCTAATATCATCGATCGCTAAAGCTTTAGGGCACGATGTTTCATCATTATATTGTTGAACAAGGAATCTGTCAGAATCGCCAGAGCAGGAATTCGCTTACAAATGCAACATGATTTAAAAGCGTCGTTTAAGCCAGATATAAATTTAACAGTACATTGGGATTCCAAGCTGCTACCTAACATATTACCATCCAAAGCTCTACCAAAAACCGAGCACTTGGCCATAGTTGTATCAGGCGAAGGCATTAGCAAATTATTGGCTGTTCCACCCATCGAAAACTCTACGGGGGCACAACAAGCAGAAGTGGTGTACAATGCAGTCGTCGAATGGAGGCTTGCGGACAGGTATGATCTTAAATCTTGTATGTTCACCTCAGAATCCTGACTATTTTATCGTTTGTTTTCAGAATTATGTTTACATCTTTTGATACTACTGCATCAAACACCGGTAGAAAAAAAGGTGCGTGTCAGTACCTGGACAAATTGTTTAAGAGGCAGCTTATAGGCCTTATAGACCTCATACATGAACTGCTACTTGGCAAAGTTTTTAAAATTCTGAAATTTGAAACGTCAAAGTCTCCAAATGTTGAGATTTTTAAGGAATTCCAATCAAAATGGCACATTTTGGAAAAGACTTCATGATTTTTTTAAAATAACTATTTTGGAAATAGAAAGATTGGCGTTATTGGAGTTTTATGAAAAACAAATTAGAGACCAACACCACTGTGGTGATAACCGAGAGGTTCTACAACTTGTCATTTTATATTTGGGTGGAAACATCGATGAAAAATTACAAATAAGAGCTCCTGGTGCGTTCCACAATGCAAGGTGGATGGCCAACATCATATATTCTTTGAAAATGGCACCCAACAACGATCTGAACCTGTTAAAAATATTGAAGGAATATGAAACTGTTGATGAAGACGTTGCGAAAGCAGTACATAAAGGAATTTTAACTCACTTGCAATATTTGGACAACAGCCTTATCGGACTTTGTCTGTTCGACGAAAATGTAGACCTCCCGGTTAAGAAAAAGGTCATCGAAGCCCTACTTCTATCAGGTAAATGCTTTAATTTATACATTTGCATTTAATTTTCTGATGATTTTTTTTTTACAGATACTCATAAAAACATTACAGCCAGATCCATTGTTGAATTCAACGATATTTCAACGATTGAACTACACTCGTTTGTACAAGACAGCAGTGGTATTGAAAACTTATTCAAAGCTGTCCAAATTCCGAAGTCGTTGCTGAATGTCGATATGGAGCAGTGGAGTAGTTCCATCGAGTTTAAAAATGCCAAAAGACGGGTTCAATGGTTGGAAGTAGTTAATGATAATGCAGAGCGTGGTATAGCATTGATTAAAACATAAAATTCAAAACTATCAACGGATGAAGATCAAAAGCAGTGCATTTTACAATTAGTTGAAGATCATCGAAAAAAATTTAAGAGTAAAGGGTGATACGGTCAAAATTTGGTCAATATCAACTTGACGTATTTCTTTCAATTTTGCATTTAAAAAACCTGAACACCCCTCATTTTGAAGGTGTGTGTGTGTAGAATGTTGCTCCTATTTTGATTTTGGAATTCACTCTTCAGTTGTCAAAATGTCGTCCAAGCAAGAAGAGCAGCGTATCAAAATTTTGCTCGCGCATCGCGAAAATCCGAGCTACTCGCACGCAAAGTTGGCAAAATCGCTAAAAGTTGCCAAATCAACCGTTACAAATGTAATTAAAGTGTTTGGGGAACGTTTGTCGACAGCCAGGAAGTCTGGATCGGGGGGAAATCGAAAACCGGAAGCCGCTGAGACGACAAAGAGAGTTGCCGGTAGTTTCAAGCGAAACCCTAACCTCTCTCTCCGAGATGCCGCAAATAAGCTGGGTGTATCGTCTACAACCGTGCATCGAGCCAAAAAACGAGCCGGACTATCGACTTACAAGAAGGTAGTGACTCCAAATCGCGATGATAAACAAAATACGACGGCCAAAGCGCGATCCCGGAGGCTGTACACGACGATGCTGACGAAGTTTGACTGCGTGGTAATTGACGACGAAACCTACGTCAAAGCCGACTACAAGCAGCTTCCGGGACAGGAGTTTTATACGGCAAAAGGAAGGGGAAAGGTAGCAGATGTTTTCAAGCACATGAAACTGTCAAAGTTCGCAAAGAAATATCTGGTTTGGCAAGCCATCTGTACCTGTGGCTTGAAAAGCAGCATTTTCATAGCTTCCGGGACTGTCAACCAAGAAATTTACGTGAAAGAGTGTTTGAATAAACGTCTGCTGCCTTTCCTGAAGAAACACGGTTGTTCCGTACTGTTTTGGCCGGATTTGGCATCTTGCCATTACGGTAAAAAGGCCATGGAGTGGTACGCCGCCAACAACGTGCAGGTGGTTCCCAAGGACAAGAACCCTTCCAACACGCCAGAGCTCCGCCCAATTGAGAAATACTGGGCTATTGTCAAGCGGAACCTAAAGAAGACCAAAAAAAACTGCTAAGGGCGAGCAGCAGTTCAAGGCAAACTGGCTTTCTGCGGCGAAGAAGGTGGACAAGGTGGCTGTACAAAATCTGATGACAGGGGTCAAGCGTAAGGCCCGGCAATTCGGATTTGGAAAAGCGGAAGCCTAACTGAATATTTTTCCTGAATTTTATACTAATTGAACTTGAAAAAGAAATTTAATTTGATTTTTTAAATAAACGATTTCACCGATTTACACGCGTTTTCCCTTGACCAAATTTTGACCGTATCACCCTTTACCAGGAAATCTGATTTGGTGTAGCTAATGAGGAAATATATGACAAGGTATAAAATAGGTATTTTTTCATCTTTTCAGGCAAATGTTCCTCTTGTGTAAACTCATGATTCCCAAAAAAAAAACAGATTAACGAAATTAAATTGATTTTAGGAATTTCTGATGAAAAGTTGTGTTTGTTTGTTTGTTTGTTTATTAAGAACATTTTACATCTCCGCGATGCATTCATGTCCATTCGATTTGATGTTTGGTGTATTGTGTATGGTGTGCAAGTGTTTTTGTTAGTGTAAGTGCTACAATTCAGTTGCTTCTCTCTTCTGTTCTTCTTTGCTTCCAAACAATTACTTTTCTCCTTCGCTTCACTTCATATTACTCTCCTACTTCGCTTTTCTTCACGAATTTCTTCATCTTTCTACCATCTTTACCTGTGTAATTTGTTATTCTACAGTTCTTTTAATTTGTTATTCTAGTCTTCTACTTCGTGTTGCTTAATATTTTTTTCACCTGTGCAATTTGTTATTCTAAAGTTCTTGTAATTTGTTATTCTAGAGTTTTTTGTACAAATCCGTTTCATGTAGGAAATTAAGCATTCGTGTTGTTCTTTCTTCCGTGTTGTCCAGAGCTTCACGTAGACTGGTGCTGATGTCATTTTTCCTTCTCTCTTCGTCGTATTTCCTGCACTCAAGAATGATGTGCTTTACATCCAACACCGTGCCACAACATTCACACACCGGTGGGGCTTCCTTCTTCAGAAGAAACGTGTAGGTTAGTCGCGTATGGCCGATTCTCAGACGTGTAAGCATATGCTGGTCGGCTGAACTTCCTCGTTCTGTCCATCTGTGCGTTTCGAATTTCACCTCCCTCAGCTTCGATTCTGTTGTGCTAAACCACTGCCTATTCCACTGACCACGTATCGCATGTTTCACCGCTTTTATCGCATCCTCGCTTGGAATCGGTACGTCGATGGCTGGTTGTCTTCTAGCCTCATTGGCTAGTCGGTCAGCTTCAGAGTTTCCCCTGATGCCGGCGTGTCCAGGGATCCAGCAGAAACGGATGATTTTGCTTTGCACGATTCTCTCTACTTCCTGCACCCAAGGGTGCCGGGAAGTTCCAGCCTCCAAAGCCAGTAGGAAGCTTGCGGAGTCCGTGAGAATAACCAACTCATTTTGAACATTAGGGATGGTGGCGGCCATTTTAATAGCGTAGGCCTCCGCAGAGAAAACACTACATTCGTTCGGAAGACTGTAGGTCCTAGATAGCCCTTCGTAGAAGAATGCAGCTCCTACCGTGTCTTCACACTTGGAGCCGTCCGTGTAGACGATGGTTGAACTATGGAAGCGGGTCTCCAGTAATTGTCGAACAACTGGACGAACTTTCTCTGGTGGGTCTCCAGCGCGTATGCTTCTTTTCACATCCCACACTATCGTCGGTTTTCGGGCGTGCCACAAGCGATTGCTCTGCCTCACGAGTGAACCGACAGCAGGAAGCGTTGAACCGGTTAATTCTTGGAGGCGATTTGAAGCGCGTGTAATCAGAGGTAGGGTGCTGCTGTTTGGATTCTTTGTGATCATTCGGATGGCAATGTGTACTGTGGTCTGTGCTGCTAGCAGTTCGAAGGGTAGAGTCCCAGCTTCGGCCATCACCGAGTTAATCGGGCTCGTCACGAATGCTCCGGAAGCGAAACGAACCATTTTGTTGTAGGCAGGAGCGAAAGTCTGCAAGGTTGCTGGCCCTCCTCGACTAACAAGTCCAATCCCGTAGAGCAGCTTCGCAGTAACTATGGCTGACCCAACTTGCAGCAGAGAAGTCTGATTGCCACGTGGAAGTTTTGCACCGATCATCTGTAAAATCCGTAACCGAGATTCGCATGCTTTCTTAACCATATTGCAGTGAGGTTTGAAGGATAACGTTCGGTCCATGGTTACACCTAAAATCCTCAGCCGGTTGGTCTTTGGCACGGGAGTTCCCTCGATTGAGATATCTCGCACGGGATCCCGTCGTGCGTTCGGACTGCAGTAGAAGACATGTGACTTTGTTGCCGACACAGCTTCGCCATGCAGCTGGTGAGCGAGATTGGACGGAACGCAGCGGGTCCGGTATCGAGGCAGTTTGGCTTCGGAATGGGCACCACGATTGTATTTCGCCAGCTGGTGGGAAACTCTCCATTACGCCAGATCCGGTTGAGCAGCTCTAGCAGAGTCATCTTCACGGACAAAGGTAGACGTCGAAGCATTGGGCACCCTATCATGTCGGGTCCTGTCAAGGCAGCTCGCCCTTTCTCGAGAGCCCACAGAAGTTCGCTTAGGGTAATGTCGCTGTTGTACACGTCGTCCGTGTTTGGCGAAACATCTATGGACTCTCTTTCAGCTGCTGTCTTAGTCTTCTGAAAAGAAGTAGGGTAACTGGAGGTCGCAGATCTATCGCTGTAAAAACTGGCTAGCACTTCCGCAGTTTCTTCGGGGTCATCGGTGAAGCCATCCGATCGCTTGAGTGCGACGGTACGTTGTTGTCGGCTGCCACGTAGCGTGTTCACCGTTCGCCACAGTTCAGTTGTCGTGCTGCTTGGTGCAATTTTGGCCACGAAGTTCTCCCACGATCTTTTTTTCGCTGCCTTTATCGCCTTCCGTGCTACAGCTCTGGTTTCCTGAAACCTCGCCAATGCAGCGGGTTGATCAGGATCAGATGTCTGCAGTCACCGCAGATATCGAAGACACTTTCGTCGATGTCGAATCGCCGCCTTCGCTTCAGGGCACCACCATGGTACCGCTTTAGGCCCCATACGGCCGCTGGTTTGCGGTATGGCACGAGTTGCTGCTGCAATTATCTTCTCCGTGAAGCTGTCTACGTCCCATTCAACATCTGGCCGGATGGTTTCTGCGGTGAAACGTTCATATAACGACCAATCAGCGCGATCGTACAACCATTTCCGCCGCGTCGTTCGTGAAGATGACCACCCAGGAATAGAAACTGTTATCGGGAAATGGTCACTATTGTGCGTGTCCGGTAGGGTTCGCCACGTGAATCTGCGAGCCACACTCTCGGAGCAGAAGGTCAAATCGGAGCAGAGGTGTTGCCTGTGGCCGGGTCGATGCGAGTGGGTGAGCCATTGTTCAGAATTACCAGCCGCTTGTCCGAAGTAGCTTCGGAGATTAAACGGCCGAGCGCGTTCACTGTTTGTGATCCCCATGCTATATGATGAGCGTTGAAATCCCCCAGAAACATGATAGGACCTTCCAGTCGGTCGAGTAGATCACTCAACGTATCCTGACACTGTGTTGAGCTCGGCGGGACGTAGATAGAGACTACAGTTATCTGAATCGGTATGTGGATGCGCACAGCGATGAGGTGTAAGGAGGTGTCTACTTGCAGTCGCTCGAAAGGTATGCCTTCTCGGACAGCAAGACCAACCCCGTGTTGCCAGTAGTGCGTGTTATTGGATTCCAACAGTAGCGTGTAGTTTTTGCCGATGTAGTCTGGTGGTGCGACAGTCTGATTCACCTTGGTCTCCTGGAGTGCGATGATGCAGGGTTCGAGCTCAGCTATGAGGAGTTTCAGTTCACTGATGTTGCCCCTGAGCCCACAAATATTCCACTGAAGTGCGAAGCAGCCACCGTGGTAACTGATACTAGCTGACCGTGTGATGGACGACGATGAGGATAGTGATGGTCTTCGTGTCGGTGGCGGGTCGCCTGTAAAAGTGCAAGGTGCCGCAGTAATCGGCGCTGGTAACTCTATCAATTCAGAACTTGCCTATGGGACGCTTGGCCCCACAGTGCTGGCTGCCGTCGAAACCATTACACTAGTTTTTCCAATACCGACAACAGCCGGCACTGGGGAAGCACTTTGTGTAATATTTGCTCGACGAGTACTTGAAGGACTTTCTCCGGGATATAGCTCTGGTGGGGTTGTAACAAAATCTGTTAAGATATTGGGCACGGCAGTACCTTTTCGCGGTTGTATCGTGATGGGACTGACCTGTGGGACGTCTTGCCCCACAGTGTCAGCCGTTGCCGAAACTACTACACGATTTCTTCCCAAATTGCCGGCAACAGCCGACACTGGGGAAAGACTTTGTGTAGTATCGTTGCTTGCTATGGTGCTGTCAGGCGTTGAAATCCATGGAAGAGCTCGGAGTGAAGAGAGTGACGGGGTGCTGTTGATTTTGGTTGCTCGTGTAGGGCGGCGGCCAGGGCAAAGAAGGGATACACCTTCCCCCTGCCGTCTATCCCAAGTTTCCAGTGTCGTGGTTGTGTCGTAGTTTCCATCGGCTACAGCGGTGAATTCACCATCAACGGGGTGGAGAAAGACGTCCCGGATGGTTCCTTCGGCCTGCTGTACTTGCGTTGGAAGGGGTACTTCACTTTCCTCACTTCCAAACCGATTACCTTCGTTGTCATTATTCGTGCGTAGGTCTTCATTCTTAAAAAATAAAATTACTAATCTATGTCGACGACATGAAGCTCTTTTTGGAAATAAGAGATGATGAAGACATCTATATATTCCAGAGTGAAATACGCATATTCTACACATGGTGTAACAAAAAGCCTATCAGAACTGAATGTAAAAAAATGCAACTTAATATCATTTAGCAGAAAAAGAACACCACCAAACATTTCAACTGCATTAGGAAATCAGAATGTAAAAACAGTTAGGGATTTAGGGACTATCTTAGACTCCAAACTAACTTTCATATACCATTACAATACAATTATTCACAGGGCAAATAACATGCTGGGATTAATCGAGCGCTTTTGCTATGACTTTAAGGACCCATACACAATTAAACCACTATATATTGCCTATTTTAAAGTCTCCATTTTCAATCACGCACGAAGAAGGATTAGAATCAGTACAAAAGCAATTTCTATTATATGCCCTTCGTAAATTAGGTTGGACATCATTTCCTCTTCCATTATATGAAGCACGCTGCATGCTTATGAACGTACAAACATTGTTCGCGATTGGAGCGAACGTAGTGTAGTAGTAGTTTTTGTTTTATGTAAATAACCCTACCCGATTACCCAATCCTTTAAACTACCTCTACCGAGGTGACCGCGGGTAATCGGTTCCCAACATTAACATAATGTGTAATTTGTGTCAAGACCCTACAAACAAGCTTTGATCATTTCCTTACACTGCCGCTGGCTTGGCACGAGCATGCAAGCAGCAGCACCGACCGAGCGACGACCGACCGACTGCAAACCAACGAGCGCGCAGCGAGCGCTGATTGGTTTGTGAATGAAAGGGGAAAGGTAAGGAAAATGAAAACAGCCAAACATATTTAAGGCAACGTATTTAGCGCGTCGCGATGATTGATCGCACCTGCTCTGGAGGTGGAGGAGTAGCCATCGCTGCAAGACGGAACATCAGTTGCCGGCTGCTACCAAACTTCCAGCTGAAAACAATTGAAGCCATCGGAGTGGAGGTGAGCACATCACTTGGCCCAATCACCATCATCGTGGCCTACTGCCCCAAGCAAACCAACATCAGGGACGGGTCGTCAGTGGCCCTCTGCAAAGACATCATCAAACTCACCCGGAGGAGCGGGAACTTTATCATCGCTGGCGATTTGAACGCAAAACATCAAGCTTGGGGCAACGGTCGGAGCAATAGAAACGGCATCATCCTCAATGAAGACCTGCAAGAGGGCCACTATACCATCTTGGCCCCGGACTCTCCCTCCCGGTTGAGTCGGTCTGGGGTCCACGCGACCATCGACATCTTCGTAAGCAACATGGGACACAACGTCTCGCAACCTGTGACATTCCAGGAGCTGAGCTCGGACCACTCCTTCAAGTTATCGACCAATCAGCCTTCTCTCAGAGGTTTAAAAACTGTTCGAAAGAGCAGTCTACCACCGGCTCCTAACATCTGCCGAAGAAAACAACATCTTACTCGAGGAACAGTTTGGTTTTTGGAAAGGTCGTTCGACCGTCCACCAGCTGACTCGAGTAACAAACATTCTCAGACGGAACAAGTCTATTTCGAAAACATCTGCCATGGCGTTGTTGGACGTTGAAAAAGCATTCGACAATGTCTGGCATGATGGCCTGGTGTTCAAATTGCAGCAGTACGGTCTTCCAATCTTCCTAGTGAAGATCATAAACAACTATCTATCAGACAGGACGTTCCGAGTCTCTCTGAATGGCATCTCATCGGATGCTTTCAACATCGGTGCCGGGGTTCCACAAGGAAGCATTCTTGGCCCCATCCTATTCAACCTGTTCACCTCCGATATGCCGGCTCTCCCTGATGGTGGATCGTTGTCTCTGTTCGCAGATGACACATCCATCGTCTACAAGGGTAGGGATCATCGGAGCTCTGACTGCCAAACTTCAGAGAGGCCTGGACGTTCTGTCTGAATATTTCAACAGCTGGAAGATCCGTATCAACGCAGCAAAGATCCAGGTCATTATCTTTCCACACTCTAAATCTCCAAGACTTGTTCCGTCGGAGAATAACAAGATCTGCCTGAACGGCACAGTGGTGGAATGGTCCAAAGAGGTCGTGTACCTCGGGCTAACACTAGACAGCAAGCTTCTTTTCAGGGAGCACGTTGACAACACAAAAACCAACTGCAACATCTTGATAAGATCGTTGTATCCACTTATCAACAGGAAGTCAACCCTGTCCCTGAAAAAAAAAGCTTGCCGTTAATGTTCACGAAAAGTTCACTATTTTGCTATACAGAAATTCAAAACAAAAATTTTTATCTGCGGATTTGGACAGTTTTTGACCTGTTTCATAGGACCGGAAGGTGTATGCTGGTCACAAATGCCGTGCCAAACTGATTTCCTCCTCTCTTTCTCGCCTTGTGCGGCGCCCTCTCGAACGTGTGCTGTTGGTTGACATTGCTGATTCGTCTGTCTCGTTGCCATCGGCTTTGTCAGTAACAGGAGGTTGTTGACCAGAAGTATTC